CTGCTTTCTTTTCCCAGCCCTGTGCTCCCTGAATGATTTGCTGCTTTGCTTTCTGCTTCCTGCCATATCTGCCTCTGTGTCACTTGTCCCCTCCCTCATCTGCTGCATGCCACATGCAGAGGCTGCAACTTCTGGCACCAGTGCTGCAAAATGGCCACCTCTGCCATACACCAAGTAGGGTAAATAGATGTAAATGAGCGATCTTCATCATCTTGGTTGCTACCAAGCTCTTGTTTGCCCATATTCATCTACCATAAAACTATTTCATCCTCCTCCTCATCAGAGATCAGAGTAGAGAAAGCCAAAGATGAGGGACTGGATGATCGGGAATGTGAGCCTTCAGCTCCCTGTCATAATGCAGTGGGGTCAGAGTGTCACTGTAACTGTGGTGGTCCTTAAATTATGTGAGAAGCAAGGTTTTGAGGGTGATATTTTATTGATTGGACCAACTGTTCAGTAAAAGATATTATCAAAAAGTCCTTGCTTCTGTTATAATGTTGTCAAGCCAACACCAAACCCTAAAGAAGGTCTCCTGTAAGGAAAAGGAAGGGAATAAGAGAAACCACAAAGAGGGAGTTGAGTTCCTTGCATTTAAAATGCTCTTTGCATCTCTTAAATGACACTCCTGAGAAGTGCCCTATTGTTGTAGCCATGATAGTCTAGGGAAAACATGAGAAACAAGATAAGTGAGGTGTGGTAACATCTTTCATCAGACCCCCTTAAGGTCAGGAGAGACATTAGATAATCTTTCAGCCACAAAATACCATTTCTCAGGTGTTCTCCGAACTACAAATTAGTCCAAAAAATATCTCAACTTAAACTAATTTTGCTACCCCCACCAAAGACACATAATGGAGCACTGTGGACATTCATATGTTAATTTTCCTAAGGGGAAGGAGCCTTGGGGCCATACAGACTAGCAGTCTCAGAATTAATGGCCCATTAGGAGCAATGGCACATTTTACACTTACCAGTTATAGCTTGAGGCTGCACGAGTCTCTGTGCTTGTTTGCAGGGAAATTATACTGACATCCTATAGTACCACCAGGTATGGCTACCTAAACAGAAACTGGCACTCAGCAAGCTGCAAGGCAGACTTCCCTTGCTTTATGTACTTCACAGTAACTGTCCCTGCATATACTCTTACTCCATGATAAATGTGAAATAGTTTACCCCTGTTTCACTGAAGGCTGAGCCATCTCTTATTGACACTGGGAAAGAGCCTGCATATGGGCAATTGATGCCCTAGTGGTAATCTGGCCGTATGTCCACGGCCAGAGCTCTACCCCGTAATCCCCAAGGGGACACTCCTAGCCCCAAAACAGGAGTTAAAAGTTTCTTTTTTTACCACATTGGAATGGGTGTGAGAGAAGCTGAAAAAAACCCCCATTCTTATTTCACATTGGGTAGTATCCAAGTAACTCTTAGTACTTTTCACTCCGAGGGCACCAGGAGAAAGAAGCAAATTAATGATTGATAATGGCAGTCCTCCTGGGTGGCTCTAAGGAACAGGAAGGCATTTTGAAGGTAACCTAAGAGATCAGACAGCTCTGAAGTCAGATGATAATTTGGAAAGTTTTATTTGTGCTATAAAAGAAATAACCATAATCACAAAAGGAATACAAGAGCTGTTATAATAGGAAGCACTATGAGAAGTGACTGCTGAGCTAATGGAATCAAATATTATTATCCATAGTTATTTGCTATTGAAACAACACATTAAGTAGTACAAAAATATCTGTTCCCGTGTTAGCCAAGGCAAATGAAGTTGTATGAAGGACAGTTAGATTTATAAACAATTTTAAACTACATAGTGGGAATGAGACTGTATTGGCAGTGAGCTACAGGAAATGGTGTACCCCTTGGATGATTTGTGAGCTGCTGGGAGGCTCTGTGCAGATACCTTACATCTCCATAAGCTTACAAGGGCTTCTGCTAAATAACACAAAGAACAGTTTTAGAACAGCTGGGGTCTAAAATCACGTCCCTTCTGGCAGCTCAGTGCATCAGTCCAGACAGAGGGGAGCTGCTCTACCTGGGCTCTGAGCTGCCCTGAGCACTGGGGAGGGGGTGCTGAGATGGACGAGCCAGCAAAGAGCACAAGGCCCTCTGCCATCCACTCCCTAGTGCAGCAGTGGGTGGGGTGACTTATCCTCTCTGCCCCTCCTTATCTTGGAGTGTCCTCCTCTGCCACAGCATAGCAGTGCAGCTCTCCCTTTCTTACCAGATCTCCGAACCAAGGTCCCCAGGGTTCCCCATTTGCAGTGATGGATGTAGGCTTAAGCTACTTATGCTATAGCTTAGGGCCTCACAATATGAGGGGCCTCTAAATAAGAAAAAAAACCCAACCCTGACTCAATATCAAGTTGAGTCAGGGTTGGATAAAGAAGATATGGGAAATGACTCTCTAAATATGGACATTTTCATTCGAATATGACAAAAATAGACATACATTGGTTTATTTTTATCGTATGGGGCCTCTTAAACTGGACATAGTTTAGGGCCTCAGCATGTCATAATCTGGCACAGTCCATTTGCCCCCCCTCCTTCCCCTGCCCCCTCCTGTCGAAACATTCTGGTCCCTGTGCAACCCCACTCAGGTCCCCTTTACTCCAGAGCAGGTCCTGGTGCCCAGTGCAGCAGAGTCATACATAAGTCATTACAGATCCCCAATTTGCACCAGCGTGCAGGCACAGCAAAGTGGCAAACTCCACCAGGAGGCAGTATCGAAGTCTGCACTTGGCACCCATCATCAGGGCCTCACAACATGGCCCGAGCATCCTAGAGCAGCTGGTGCATCCTGCAGGCTCTGTACTGGGCTTCCGCACTAGCCATAGTTTCTTTGAACACAGGAAAGATCCATGGGCCTGTAAGAGGGGACATGGAAGGGGGGAGAAGTGGGGCTCCCAATCTAAGACTGGCTCATCCCTGAACTGAGCTGAGGCAGAAAAAACCTTCAGCCCGGATGGGAAACAAGATCCAACTACCCTGTTGCTCGAGGGACCTACAGGAAAGAATGGGGGAAGAACAGCAGGGGAAGGAGACAAGATCCTGGTCTCTGTCCCCAGCTCTGGGAGGGGAGAAGGTCTAGTGGTCAGAGCCAGGGAAGCGGGTGGTCACAAGCCCTGGAATTTGCTCCAAGGTCTTGAGAGGCAGTGGGACCCAATGGTTATAGTCAGGGTGGTGCTTAGAGAACAAGGATGTTGGTACTGCTCTCTCTCTGTCTGTCTGTCTGTCTGTCTTTCTTTTAATAATATCTTTTGTGTTCCAGGTCAAATCAGCCAAATCAGTTCCATATCATCTCAACTGAGCAGAACTCAGTTGCTCCAAAAACCATATCGATTGAGCAGGCAGAACTCAATCGTTTTAAACATCATGTATGACACTACAACTGGCAAGCATCCCCCGTCCAGCCTTTCATGCTGAGACTTCAGATACTCCCAAATCCATTGGCAGGCATCCTAAATGCAAGCCCAAGCCCAGAGGTTTTGGGATTTGGATACCCTCAGAAACTACAGGCAGACATCCTCCGTCTTGGGCTCTCAAGTCCAGGATTTCAGATGCTTCCTATTTCTGAGTTAGCTCCCCTTGCTGTACACTTGCCACCAGACCCCTGCCTCAGGGGGTGGCTGCCCTGTGTGTGCAGTTCAGAAAGGGAGAGAAATTCAGACGTGAGAGGATGATGAAGGGAAGAGCTCTGAGCCTTTGGATGTGGGTGCTTGCTAAGAGCTGAGTAGCCAGCTCCCTGTTAACTCGCACCCAGCTTGTGTGCAGACTAGGCCCTGTATAACCAATGCCATTTCTGTGTGCAAACCAGGCCCTGTATAACCAATGCCATTTCTGCGTGCAGACCAGGCCCTGTATAACCAATGCCATTTCTGTATGCAGGCCAGGCCCTATATAACCAATGCAGTTTCTGGTCAGCACCAGGCCCTATATAACCAATGACTTTTCTATGTGCAGACCATGCCCTGTACAGCCAATGCCATTTCTGTGTGCAGACCAGGCCCTGTATAACCAATGCACTTTCAGTGTGCAAACCAGGCCCTGTACAGTATAACCAATAGCATTTCTATGTGCAGACCAGGCCCAGGCCTAGCCACCAGAGGGCTCCGGTTGTTGCATTGAGAGGAGGTAGCTCTGTTCCCTCCTGCTGA